AACAAAAAAAGTATACCTGTGCTACAAACACAGCAGAGGCTCTAGATGGGAAGTATTACTTCAGAATTTGTCTCTCATTACCTCCAAACTCTTAGTTTTCTTTAAAGTGATTTTATAACCTAAAGGTGAGAAGATTCAATAGCAGTCTGCATCTAAATACCTAAATTTTAAAAACCTACTAAACATTAGTATTGAATGTGTGAGTCATGAACGACAGGAAAAAAATATAAGTGCCAAACGTTGACTTCCAACAAGCAGTCTTCAACAATACAAACCATGCGGCGTGGTGAGGAAGGACTCCTGACCCCCAAGCCACTCCTTGCGCCTTAGCTGTAGCTCAGGGGCAGGAACATGACTCCTTCTTCCATCACTGGCTGTGGCAATAAGCTGTAACCCAAGGAAACTTTAACACCAAATGAAAGTACAACACTGCCCACGAGGCTCCCGTATTTCATTACTGGATAAGTCCTTTAAGTTGTCTGGTTTCAAGCAGACAAAACACAAAGGGTAATTATTAAAAGATACAAGCTAAGATGTTCAGGAAGGGCCCAGGAGAAGAAAAAAAGACTAACTTAGCCACTTGACAGCTTAGAACAAAGATGCTTCCGTGTGAACTTCTGTCTGCCGCCACCTGAGAGCAGAAATACTGCTACTGCCTAGTTACCAAGTGTTGCCAAGCACGCCAAGCTACACGACCTACGGTTGGCCAGTCCCATGCTCGAGTTCGCTAGCACCCTATGCCTCCAAAAGGTATCTAAAATGCAAACATTTTGTAGATATTACTTTCAGAAGAAACTAACTCAGATACAACTCTAGAACAACTTTTACCAGGTTTTCCAACTAAGATGCTCTTCACTGTACAGTCAGAAAACCTACCACTTCCTACGTTTTATGAAGTGGAATATCACTACACTTCTATTTCTCAACGTACAAAACCCAGGTCGTAAATTAAACTCGCATTACATCATAAAACTCTTTACCTACAAAGAGCTATTTCAATGAGTTATCTTAAAATTTAAACTATAATCTGCTTTTCGATGAATTTAAGAATGAGGGGTATTAAACATACAGTAACTCATGAAATCTGTTTTAACGAAAAAGAACTTAAAATTTCCAAAGTATTTTTCTATTCTTTTATTTCTCTAAGAAAATATATATATGCAGGAAGATATATAAATGCTATTTTATTGTACATATATGCATTCATTTAGCAATTAAGCTACTTACTGCTTAAACCATTAACCTTTAATTCTTCATGTAAAAATCTCAGAGTAGCAATGAGAAGATTTCAAGAAAAAATATTTTCCCAGGGCTTTCACAACTCCAAATATGCAAACTCTGGGCAAATGTAATAAGACGTGATAACTAAAGTGTTCCTCAACTAAGTAATAAAAGAATATATATGTTCTGCATAAATCTTTTTTTCACCTCAAAATTCCTCTTCCAGAACCCATCCCAAAATTTTCTACAGTTTACGGTTTTTCCCAGGCTTCTCCACACAGTATGCAGCTTTATCACTCATGCATTGGCAATTCAGTCTTTTACTAACTGAAATTAAATGCCAATCTTTAAAATCTAATTTCAAAGTACAATCAAAGGACCTCAGCCATCTTCTCAGACTCTCAAGAGAAGGGACCTCAGAAATCAGTGTCAGGCCTCACCCACGAAATGCATGACCCGTCCTCCATCTACCTGCACATTCCCACTGCACGAGGTCAGGGTGGAGGTCACCAGCTCACAAGCAGTCTGTTTCTTTTTCAGCTGTTGGAAAAGGTCACAGGCTGAGTTGACACTGCCTGGAAACCTGCAGCCTGTGGTCTTCCCTCTGTAGCTTTGTCCTTCCCTACTACTGCCTTGAATACTGTGTCTTCCAGAAGTGAATACAACTCTCTGATGCTATCTGATATAGGTATAGCAAGACTTTCAAACTCTTTTTATTCTGGAGAGTCTTCTACAAATATGGTCTGACTCTGGCCTAAGCAACTATCTTTTCAAACAGCTTTAACCATCACCTTTGAAGGCCTGGTCTCACAACATGCATTATTTTACTGTGTCCATTTCAGAACTTGCCCACACTTTTGCCTACTTCTCATGCTAAATTAAAAATTGGGGGAAAATAGAAATTAGACAACTTTTTATGTACACACACGAAAATAAAATTCAAGCTAAAGGCACCTGCAAATAAATTTCCTCTCACGAGGCCTGGTATCTATATTCGTGAATACACAAACTTGAAAGTGCAACAAAAGCAGAGACTCACTATAATTAGCTTCCAATTAGTAAACTGAGAAAAAGCACTGGAACTTCCAAGTGACCGATTAACACACAATTGTATAGCTCAATAAGGACTCATTTTATATCCTACACCCTGAAATCTTTCAATGGGGACTCCCACAGGTGACTCTGCTACAATGAATGGGTCTCCAAGAGACGCTCTGAGAGCCTCAACACAGTATCTGCATTTTAAATTTAAAAATTCTTGTCTGCAGGATTTTAAGGAGCCCAGCCAGGGGTCAAAGGAAGTAAAACAATGGGCGAGGGGGGAATAATACACTCCAAAGAGACTAGGAATGCTCTTCAGACTTACAGAGCACCAGAGAAAAGAACAGACAGGAAAATGCCTCTGGGAATCCAAGCAAAGGCTGGAAAACTACAGCCTCTCAACTTCTGGGTCTGCGGTAAGAGTTGTTTAACATAGCATATTTCCTCAATTCCAAGACACACAAATTATTTGGGGGGTAGGGGGAAGCTGTCACATTAAAGGGGCACACTAAGACACATACAGTTCAGAAGGGAAAAATATGCAACTTAGAATTGAGGAGTTCCAAGAGGTTTCCTGCAGCAGCAGCAGCAACTGCTGACTGGAACTGCATTTTCCCAGGGCTGCCAAAGGTGGACAAGCTCACAGTGGCCTTTTGCATTAAATAAATCTAGTGTTAACTTTTTCGTTTTTTCCCAATATTGACCCTATCTTAGAATCCCATTGTCCTATAATGAAAGCAAGCAAAACTGTTCAAAATCAGAAAGTCTTTGTGTTGGCTACACCTTTACAACTACTCAAAAATAAGTTTTATGAACCAAAAAGAGCAGAAGCTTTTTTTTCTTGTTTAATCTCACTTTACTTAGCTCAAAGAACTCTTCAACACATCTTCCCCATTGTTACAACGTCCTATCTGTAGTGATGGCACCTCCGCCTCCAGAGAAGGTTCACCTTGATTTATCCGCTAAGGTGTTTTTCCCCCCACCCTGCTCTCCTGTGAGGATTTCAAGTAAACTACTGAATTATTATTTTAACCAAACTGTACTATGTGGTTTATGTGAACTAGAGTAAAAAAATACATGTTCCACATACAGGAGCAAACAAAAAAACAGCAGCAAAAAAAAAAAACCAAGTAACATGGTAAAGGAAATATATTTAATATACTTGCAGCCATGTTAACCAAGGTACTTGGCAGCTGTGCTAAAGACAAAGAAGAGTTCACAGTTTTCATTTCACAGATTTATGGAACACACAAATATTATGCCTCTACTCTGACTCTTCAGGGATCACCTACTTTCTCCCTAAAACAAGGTAAGACAAAAGAAATTTCAATAAACGCATTTTCCCAGGTTCTCTGGTTATCTCCTAAAAAGTACAGATTAAAGGGACAGCCTAAACAATTTCCACGTAATTAAAAATGTTTCCTTTTTAATCAGTGCTTTCTGTCTTTGATTGTTTCTATTCTCTTTAAGCAGTGTATCTTACTACGGAGGGAGGCCCCAGAAAGGGGGAGTGCATACTCCAGAGATTACCCATACAATCTTTATCTTCTCCCAAATTCTGGAAGCACCAGCTTGGGGACACAATGGCATGCCTGACCAGCCTCTCTAGACCTGATCCAGAGACACTGGTGTCCCTTCCCACTTTATGGTGTGCAAAGAATGTAACATTTTCCTAAAGCTCCGTGAGGGTCAGTTTTTCTATAGAAGCTGGACCATGACCCCAGGCTTCAATTCAACCAAACTTCCTAAGAGCCACTCCTCCAAATTGACCCAAAGCATGATTCAAACATAAAACGTGCTCAGGCCTCCAGCGCTGTTTAACAAGCTACGCTTCCAAAGTTCAGACACAGCACGGTTTTTATCTTTTTATTATACCTGGGGTTGGGGGAGGAAAAAAAAAAAGCATACACCACACTCTACGTTACCGACTTCATGGAAGGATGGGGATTTCGGCGACGGCTGGAGGAGTACCTGACCCAGAGCCGGGGACGAAGAGCTGCCTCCGGGCCGCGGGCCCCTGTCCTCGGCCACACCATCACCTGAAGGGAACGGGCTGCAGGGTCGCTTATCATCCCTCCGAACCTGAAATCCCCGAGCGCGAGATCGAGCGAAAGCAGGGGGAGCCAAGTTTCTTCCGGGAGGCGCAAAAAAAAAGGCCACAACTTGGATGAATGAGACGGGGCTAAGGGCACCCGGAGCAGGAGTTTCGCTGACGTCGGAAAGAGAGAAGTCAAAGCCGTCGGCAGGTGAGCGCGGGGAGGAGCGGCCGTGGTCCAGACAACTGCACACACACGCTTGGGAGGAGGCTGCACGGAGCGCGGACGGTTCCGGGGCGGCCGGAGGGCGGAGCGGGGCTGGGGTGGGCGGCGGCGGCGGCGGGGCCGGCGACGAGGCAGCTTCGCGACGGCGGGAGCGGGGCCGGGGCCCGCCGGGGGCTCGCGTGGCCCTCCCGCGGGGGGACCTTCCCGGGACTCCGCGGGCCGCCCCGCCCCCGCCCGGCCGCCCGCCCGCGCGCGGAGCACACCCTCCCGCAGCCGCGCGCCCGCGCCGGCACACCCCCGCCTCCCGCGCGCACGCGGCCCCGCCGCGCCGGCCGGCCCACGCGCGCCCCCTCGGCGCGGACGCCCGCCCGCAGCCCCGGCCTCCTCCCGGCCGCGCGCGGAGGGCGGGGGGCGGCGGCCTAGCGGCTGCATGGGCACCCGCGCGGGAAGGCGGGCTCGGAGGGGAAGGTCACTTACCCGCTGCATGGCTTTTAGGATCAAAGCCAGCTCGTAGCGGGGCATGCCCGAACGCACCGCACGCGGCTCCGGACCGAGCGGGCTCCTGGGACACCGGAGGGGCGGGGACCGCGGGACCTCACGGACTGCTGGGCCGGAAGACTCCCGGGCAGCGAAAGCACGCTGCAGCCGCGCGAGCCCGGGCTTAAAGGCTCTGGCAGCTGCGCAGACGCTCCGCCACGCCCCCGGCAGGCCACGCCCCCCGCGCGCCACGCCCCGCCCCCTCCTTAAGGCGGCCGCGCCGCGCCCCCTCGACAGCCCCGCTCCCCGCGGCGCACCGCCCCGGCCGGGACCCCCTGCCCGGCCGCCGGTGCGAGGGGGCGGCTCTCGGGCTCCGCCGGCATTGGCCAGCGGGGGCCGCCCGCCCCCTCCGACCCTGCCGCCGCCGCCTCCGCGCCTGCTACCTAGGGTTCTCGAACCAGCTGGAACTTTCCATGCCTTCCGTCTCATACTGGGCGGCGGGCGAGCGTGCGCCCCGTGTGCGCGTGCGCCACGGTGCGGTTTCGTCCGTGTGCGCGCCCCCCTCACCCGCGGCTCCTCGCCGCCGAGGACCCTTTCTGCGGCCGCGCCGCTCCGGGCGGGGTGGCGGCCGCGCCCGGGGCTCTGCCGGCCCACGTTCCCCCCTAGGAGTGTGCGGGCTGCACGGGGCGCACGGGGTGCTCCGGGCGGGTGGGGGGGCCCGGGGAGGTTTCCCCCCTCCGCCAGCGCCCACTTTCCGAGGCCCCTTCCCCGGCGAGGAGGGCGCAGGCTGTGGGCCGCCGTGCGCGAGTCCGGGTCGGGCCCCTTCCCTGGCCAGCTGCCTGACCTTGGGCCGGCTCCTGCGGAAAGGGGACGTGAAGGGCACCTACTTCCCAGGGCTGTCGTGCCTTTGAGTGATTTGCTGCACGTAAACGGCTGAGAACGATGCCTGCCTGCACAGACGCAGGGAGGCGCGACGCGGGCATTTGTTGTTGTGCGAGCTCGGCCTGAACCACGTGTTGTTGCCATAGGCAGGCTGATACTTTGGCTCAATTCAATATTCTTTAAATGTTTGCTTGGCGTTCGTTTAGAGGACCAGCTGAGTACTTAGAAAGCCGTTTAGTGACCATCTGGGATCGTGAGTGTGCCCTGGAGGGAGGGGAATCTCAACCTGCATTCCCGTTACCCCCCCAAATGCATACAGGGCTCACCTCTTCCTTCAGCCATTGTCTGTCCTCTCCCTGGTAGGAGTTGTACCAAATGCATTTTTCTCCAGCGCCACTCCTCAGAGATTGAGCCCCCTGCAACTGCCCATGCTTCCCCCATTAAAAGGGTCTGTATGTGAAAAGTTTAACTTTAAAGCGATTTAATGATAATAGATGAAACTTACTGAGCAATTACTATGTATCAGGCACCATGCTGAGGCATTTACTCGTAAAATTCACACAACAGCGCTATGAGGCAAGTACTGTTACTGACTCCGTATTAGGGATTCAGAAATATAAGCAATATAACCGCGCAAAGGATATCTAACTAGCCCCAGGTCAAACAGGTAATAATAGAGACAAACTTTGGATCCAGACTATATGAAGGCTGAGCCCATACCCCTAGTCTGGCCCCTGGTTCTCCTACCACATAGATTAAGGTGCTGTTATTAGTAGACTTACCAGGTACTCCATGTAAGCCAAGAATAAAGAGTCCCTTTGTCACATTATCCAGAGAGCTTACTGTTTCTCATCTCCTACCTCCCATCCCCCACCACAGATAAGGATGGCTGGAACACAATCTTTTCTGTGATATCTGGGTTTTAACATTTTATATTCCTGGACTTCACAGTCCATGTTCTTCCAAAGAGAAATGACACACGTATTAATACAAATTACCTGGTTAGTATAGACTGACTTCACCTTTGGTTAAAAGAGTAGAATATTATAAATAAATAACAGCAGGACCTTCAGAAATGAGTTACAGGTTTTCCAGGATGGTCCCTATTTCAGCTGTCCCTTCTGTTATCAACCACATGGCCCCCTTGGGAATGAGAAAATAGGGCCCCCAAAGCAACATGCCGGGCCTAGACCAGGGCAATACCATGAGCTGACTTCAACTTTTAGTATTTCCTTTTGGAAGCTCCACAGTTTTTCCCTAGTGCCCAGGGGTGAGTAAGGATGTGGCTTCTTCCTCTCCTCCTTCCTTTAACCTGACAAGTGTATAAGGAAATTAGCCTGATTGCATAATGCCTCAACACAGGGAGCACCCGCCAGCCCTCCCAGTCTGGCGGCTGCCCATCGGCTCATTCTGTTTCTTCTGAAAGAAAGGACAGCTACCTTGATTTTCCCCCTTCAACTTTTTTTAAAAAGCACAGCAGCAGAATGCTGGTTGGTTCATTAAAAAATAATAATAAAATCACAAGGAATGCTGCTGCGAATTTAGTGTCTCCCTGCTATAACCGCAAATTTTAATTCACCAAAAAGACTTTTTGAATTTTGTGCTATGTATAGCCAGCCTCTAGAATTATAAAGCATTTTTTGTTCTTAGTGCCTTGGAGTTGATTCTAACCCCTAGAGACTCTGTGCACGGAAGAGCGGAACCCTGCCTGCCCTGTCTGCACCATCCTCTCATCTTCTAGCGCTGTATCAGACGATGCTCTGCTGCTGTTCATGGAATTTTCATGGCCAGTTTTGTCAGAAGTGGGTGGCCAGGTCCTTCTTCCTAGTCTGTCTAGTCTGGAAGCTCCACTGAAACTCCGCCATGGGTGACCCTGCCGGTATTTGAAATACTGATGGCCTAGCTTTCAGCATCACAGCAACACACAGCTGCCACAGTATGACAACCAACAGACAGGTGGTGTGGTTCCCTGACCAGGAAATGAACCTGGGCCATCATGGTAAGAGCACCGAATCTTAACCACTAGGCCACCAGGACTGGCTTATAAGACATTACTGCAGTATTAAATGTATTAATTGAAAAATTATTCCGATACTTAGGAATAAGCTTAACCAAGGAGGTGAAATATCTGTACATTGAAGACTATAAAATGCTGATGAAAAATTAAACCAGACACAAATAATGGAAAAATATCCATGTTCATGGATGGGAAGAATTAATATTGTTAAAAGTCCATACTACCCAAAGCGATCTACAGTTTCAATGCGATCTCTATCAAAATCCCAATGATGCTTTTTAGAGAAATAGAAAAAAGCAATCCTAAAATTCATATGGAACCACAAAAGACTCTGAATAGCCAAAGCAATTTTGAGGGAAAAGAACAAAGCTGGAGGGGTCGGCCCAATAGCACAGCAGTTAAATGCTCACATTCCACTTCAGCGGCCCAGGAGGGTTCACCAGTTCGGATCCCGGGTGCGGACATAGCACAGCTTGGCAAGCCATGCTCTGGTAGGCATCCCACGTATAAAGTAGAGGAAGATGGGCACGGATGTTAGCTCAGGGTCAGTCTTGCTCAGCAAAAAGAGGAGGATTGGCAGCAGATGCTGGCTCAGGGCTAATCTTCCTAAAAAAAAAAAAAAAAAAAAGAACAAAGTTGGAGGTGTCATACTTTCTGATTTGAAAGTACATTCCGAAGCTATAGTAATCAAAACAGTACGGTACTGGCATAAAAACAGACCTATAGACCAAGGGAACAGAATAGAGAGGCCAGAAAGAAACCCATGTGTATATGGTCAACTGATCTTCAGTAAGGGTCCAAGAATACATAATAGGGAAGGGAGTCACTTCAATTTATAGTGTTGGGAAAACTGGATATCCACATGCAAAAGAATGAAATTGGATGCTTATCTTACACCACAAACAAAAAATCAACTCAAAATGGATTAAAGGCTTAAATATAAAACCTGAAACCATAAAACTCCTAGAAGAAAACATAGGGGAAAACTTCTTGACATTTGCCTTGGTATTGATTTCTTGGATATGACACCAAGAGCACAGGCAGCAAAAGCAAAAATAGACAAGTGGGATTGCATCAAATTAGAAAGCTGCTACACAGCAAAGGAAGTAAACAGTAAAATGAAAAGGCAACCTACAAAATGGGAGCAAATATTTGCAAATTATGTATCTGATAAGGGGTTAAAATACAAAATATAGGGGCTGCCTGGTGGCATGGTGGTAAAGTTTGAATGCTCCGCTTCAGCAGCCCAGGGTTCACCAACTGGGATCCTGGGCTCGGACCTACACCCTGCTTGTCAAGCCATGCTGTGTCAGTGCCCCACATACAAAATAAAGGAAGATTAGCACAGATGTTAGCTCAGTGATAACCTTCCTCAAGCAAAAAGAGAAAGATTGGCAACAGATGTTAGCTCAGGGCCAATCTTCCTAACAATAACAACAACAACAAAAATCCAAAATATAGAAGGAATTCATACAACTAAATAGAAAAAAAAGAAACCTGATTAAAAAATGGGCAGAGGAACTGAATAGACATTTTTCCAAAGAAGGCATACAAATGAGCAACAGGTATGTGAAAAGGTGCTCAACATCACTAAGCATCAGGGAAATGCAAATCAATACCACAATGAGATAGCACCTCACACCTGTTAGAATGGCTATGATCAAAAAGGCAAGAGATAACAAGTGCTGGCAAGGGTGTGGAGAGAGGGAACCCTTGTGCACTGTTGGTGCAAATGTACATTGTCACAGCGACTATGGAAAACAGTCTGGAGGTTCCTCAAAAAGTTAAAGATAGAACTTCCGTGTGATCCAGCAATCTTTCTTCTGGTTATATAGCTAAAGGAGTTGAAATCGAGATCTCGAAGAAATATCTGCACTCCCATGTTCATCGCAGCATCATTCACAGTAGCCAAGACGTAAAAGCAGTCTAAATGTCCATGGGCAGATAAAGAAAATGAGTAAAGAAAATGTGGTACGATGAAATATTATTCAGCCTTTAAAAAGAAGGAAATCTTGCTATTTGTGACAACATGGATGAAGCTGGAGGACATTATGTAAGTGAAATAAGCCAGACACAGAAGGACAAATACTATGTGACACCACTTATAAAAGGTATCCAAAATAGTCAAACTGCTAGAAGCAGAGAGAACAGTGGTTCACGGGAGCTGGGAGACGGGGAAATGGGGAGATATTACTCAGAATACAAAGTTTCAGTTATACAAGAAAAAAGTTACTCTGTAACTTACAGTTTCCAAAACATTTAATATGGTGTCTGTTTAAGATTTGATTATCCACAAATCTTGGTTCATTTTCAAGTAAGTTATTATGAAGGGGAATAGGAAAGAAAACATAAGAACGGAAGTCAAAATCTGGTCCTATTTCAAAAAAGTAACCTCAGTGTATGCGCTGGGTCAGTTTAATCACCATTACCTTCTTATTTTACGTTACTGGACAGTGAGTCTTGACCTTGAGCTCACACTGGATCAGTAATTCTCAAAGATATCTCAAAGATAGACCTTGTGTCTCTAAATACAATCCTCAGAAAATGAAGAAATGTGGATCTTTTCGATTAACAAAGAAAATAATCCCACAGTCGAACCAGGTCATGTTTTAAGCTGTCAGTCATCACTCCCGTCAGCCTGTCATCTTCTCCCTGATGAGAGTGATCTCCATTTCTGGTGGACGGATACTCCCCCTCCTGAATCCCACTTTCCTAAGACCTGGAGTTGTTCCATAGCTAATTGCTCCCAGGACCTGGACCTATAAAATCCAGTTTCTCTTAGAATTTATCTTCTGCTGCTCAGAATGTATCTTTGTTCCTCAGCCGAAGGCACAGACCCAAGTCACAACATTTCAAATTTATTTTGTTTTTAAATGTTTTACCAGTGAACCCGCTAGTATTTCCTAAACCTCCTCCACACACCCTCGCCCACCCTTCCAGACCCTTTTGGCCACGTTA